TCCTGAAGAGTAGCTTGTGGGTTTGAATTGCCAATCTCAGGGTTACGTTAGCAGCCCAACAATGCCTACCACACAGCCCACCAGAGTCCCTAAGCCTACATGTAGTAAGGAATATGACTCTTAAATGCCGAGCCTGAGGATATATATATAACCACCACAACCAAGAATGCTCCCTACAGTTATGAGCAAGCTTTTAAAGGCAAAAACCACATTCTGGTTGGTGCATCTGTCGAGGTCATTTCAGTTCAGCAGGCAAGCATGACAGAAGTGAGAACAGCAAAATTAGTTTTTTTTAAATTTATAGATTAATTATAACATCAAAAGAGTAGCAAAAATAAAGAATAGCAAGATTAATTACAATGGCCTGATTTGGAGTATGAATTAGTACGCTCGGAAAACAATAACTGACATGGGTTTCTGAGAAGGGAGGGGGAGAGGACAGGTCATTTAGCAGTCAACCAAATGGAGTCTCTGTGGCTCATCTGCCTCACCTTGTTGCCCAGCTATTAACTAAAGTTTGAATAATTTATTCAGATGGAGGCACCTGAAGGAGCCGGGTTGCGTAAAGGTTATTTTGGGGCTGTGATCCCATAAGTCCGCATATAAACCACCCGCTGCGCCGCAGGAGAAAGACAGGCCTTTCTACACCTGTAAGCAGTGATGGTCTAGGAAATGTATAGGGGATGCCCTACCTTTGTCCTACTGGATCACTGTGAGTCAGCAATGGCTCAAAGCAGTAAGTCTGTTTTGAGAGGCACCTTGAAGGAAGTGGGGTATCTGGTGGAACCCAGTTCTTATATTCTTGACCACATGCCATCTCCTCGAGTTGAAATTCATTGTCAATTTCTGCATAGAAATTTTATAGAAATGTCTTAGGAATTCAGAGCTCTCTATAAACACTATGAAATCAATATAAGCAATAACTGCTTTTCAATTCAGTGAAATCTTCACAGAAGGAACTTCTCAAAGTCTACGAGAAAACTCTCATTCTAGTACAACTCTTTTCCTTCAACTTTTTGCTTCGGGAAGCACGGTTTCTCTCAGTTCTTCTGAGTCTACAGTTAGTTTCCAGGATTCTTCATTATTTCTTAGCTGTCATAGTGGACAAGTAGCCAATTGAATTGTACATATTCATGTACTGGCATGTAATATTTTTAGTTAAATTCAAAACGTCATTATGATACCCAGATATTTGCTAAATTACTTATAGGAAACTCTTTTAATATATTGGTGCACATTTCTGTAAGATTCAAAAATGTGAGGCATGAGAATAAGTATTATGTATAACAGTTTAATCATGACAAAAAAACCTATCCATGGGGCCCTTTGCTATTCACACCTGCCTCCCCCCTTAATGGATGGCCCATAGCTTCATATAGTGTTGTTTCCGTCTTATTTTGTATTAGTTTTCCATTCCTGTTTGGCTGTTCTAACATATATGTGATAATATCCCACTACCAAGTGTCTAGTGCTGTTGAACACTTTTTTTCTGACCTTATTTACCATCCATGTATCTTTGTGGCTGAAGCTTGTCAAATATTTTATTCCACTTTTTGTTGAGTTTTGAAAAATGATTATTGAAAAATTGAAAGTTCATAATATATTCTGGATATGAGTGCTTTGTCAGATATGTGTTTGTGATCTAGTTGGGCACATATGATTCTATTCCGATAATTTTTTCTCTACTGAAACCTGGCCTATGCTGGGTTGACTACAGAAGCTTTTCAATGTCTTGGCATTATTCAAAAACCAAACTCCCTGCTGTCGAGTTGATTCCAACTTACAGCAATCCTAAGTAGTGTTAACTCTCAAACTTTGTTTATGTCTTTCAAAAGCTATTTGAAGCTCTTTTAATATATGTGGGACCTTTTTAGTATCTATAGTTATATGAATATTTATACATTTAACTTAACTTCTTATTGTGAATTAGATGAAAGTTTACAGAGCAGATCACAGCTGTACATTCAATCATTCAGACACATTCTGAATCAAGTCATCCATTCAAAGTCGTTCGAATGCACCGTTGTGTATTTCATTTCCACCCCATGTTCCATTGATCTTTCTTCCTTAACTCTCTGAACTGTGTTCTTGGGTGAATGGTGCCTTTTTGATCCTAAACGGTTGATTATTCCAATGCAGAGCTAAGTTCTAGAGCTAAAGGGCCATACTGTCTCCATCTGACCACTCCTTTATGTGAATATCCATATTTTAAACATCATATTTAAATTTATTAAAAGGGAAGAAGGGAAGGAGGAAGGGATTACCTTCCCTTTACCCTCATTCTCCGTAATGTTGGTCAAAGCCCTTAAGCTTGGGCCCTGCCAGGTGGGCTGGGATAGTGGATGAGCAGAAAGTCCTAGCTTGAGCTAGAAGCCAAATAGGATATGGAACAAGTTATGCTTTTCGCATCACATATGAATCCTGGACCCAAAGGTCCTTCCCAACTCTCCCTGCTGACAAGCTCAGATATCAGTGGGTTGCTAGCATTAGCTTTGCCAGTTTGCATAGTCACCGTTCTGTTCGAGCCTGGCCACCAGCAGCCTGTGTCCTGCAAAGAACAGAAACAGGCACTTTGAAGGCAGGTTCATGCTGTGGAGCAGCTGGACACATGAAGAGAGCTGAGCAGCTCAGCACAGGCTCTGGTACCTGCTCATCATTCGTAAGTTTCCAAAGCCCTCCAACACTGGCCTTTGTCAGCACCACGTAGCCCCAAAGATCTGGGATTCACTGCAGGCCCTCTGACAGTATAGACGTTCTGGAAAGCTTTACATGCTGAACAGAAGTGGAGGGAATAAGCAACAGTGTATTGTTTCTGATATGAGGGTAAACATTTGCTTACCTTCTCCATGGAGATGTCTGTTGTTCTCTATTCCTTTGTCATTGTGGTGAAATACATTGACATGTTTCTTATCTTGAAACCTTCTTGTGTCATTTGATAAAGCATTTGATCATAGCATACTACCTTTTATAGGACTTGGGATTCAATTGTTAACATTCAGCTGATCCACAGTATTTTAAAAAGAATTTATAAGGCTCTAGTTTGGTTTGCACAGTAGGGTGATGCAAAGTCTAAGAATGATGTCAAATATTTTATATGCACCTCAATTCTGTGAACATGTCTGTGTAGAACTATCCTCTTTTCCTCTTCAAATATTGACTAGCCTTCACCAGTGAATCTATTGATCTCTTTTTGGAGTTTTATTTTGGGGAATGTTTTTATTTTTGAGTTAAATTTTTTTATTAAAGTTAAGTGTACAATGTTATCTATTCTATTTTGATTGAGATTAGTTGGTTGGGGCTGTAATGAAATTTGACAATTCACCTACGTCATTTAGTTTATTGGTTTAGTTGTATAGTGTATTGGCATTGTTTATAATTGCTCATATCCCCTTATTCTTTTAATATCTCTAATGCATAGTTGTCAAACAATTGATCTCATTGTTGATACTGGTAGTTAAGTTTCTGTCTTTTATTGTGGTGTGTGTAGATCAATTGGATTTTATAAATTGAATTCACAATCCTATAAAAAGTTAATACATTATGATCATGTCTTATCAAAGGAAATATAATGCTTTATCATTAGAAAGTTGCCAATGTAATTTACCAATCATCAGAAAATTTGTTAGAGATATGCAATGATATTCACCTCATACTTCTGTTTCATTAACTGTTCTAATGATTTTCTCTCCGCCAGTTTTTGCTTTGATCTTTTTTTTTTTTTTTGCTTCTGTTCCATTTGAGTTTAATATATTGTAATTTTCCTAATGATTCTGAAGTCATTGCTATGGAAAACTTTTTCTTTTCTCATACAGGTATTTATTTATTTATTTTTTGCACTCCAATGTTTATTGCGGCACAATTTTTTTTTCTTTTTTAACATTTTATTAGGGGCTCATACAACTGTTATCCCAATCCATACACACATCAATTGTGTAAAGCGCATTTGTACATCATTTCTCA